AAAATGAAAATTTTGAAGTTTGCATTTTTAAATACATTTATAATAAAAACAATGGTTTATCATTGTAACATATTGTATACTGTATACAAGTACCGTATATTACACATTACATATCGTAATGCATTACAGTACATATGTTACGTATGTGGCCAGCAAGTATGTTTCATACATATATGTATTGTAGGATATTAAAACAGGGTCAAAGATCAAAGTTTGCAAATTTATACAACAAAGTAGAAGAAAATGAAAAATCACCGTTATAACGATTTTTGTGATAATTTACAGGGAGCATTCCAATGAAAGCTTTTGCTTTAGACGGCTTTATTGCTTGAATTTGTTCATACTGTTCAATAAGTGTTTCGATAGAGGTCCGATTACACTGCAAATCAGTTGCTTGTGCTAATTATTTTCGTCATTCACCTTTGTATTTATGCGGTTGCATTTTCTCTTGCATATTACATTCATTCATTATTTACTTATGTCTATCCAATTTTATTTCCTATTCTAATTAAAATAATTTCACATTAGTTTTTTTTTTTTTTAATTTGGTAGCTTAATTAACATAGAACATTAACGGAATTATTTGACATAAATAAGAATTTGTCTATCAAAAAAAAGACTTCCTCTCATATAGTTATAATTTTCTAATAGAAGAAAGTCCTGTGCCATCTTTATCTTCTACTCTATTTTTTCTCTTTAAATGTGCAATAAATGAATTTTTTCACATAGTTGACAAATTCTTTCACACGTTTTTGCATGCACGTTTCATAGAATCGTATTTCACTTTCTGCACTATTTATTTGAGATGTTTGAGAATCATCTTGAGTTAAATGTACATAGTCTGGTGGCCTTTCACTATTGGTTGCCTGCATAGGAATAAATTAGTTGGAATTCTATGAGTTTTAAATGAAATTATTAAACGTTAAAAAAAAGTTTCAAATAGAAATTTAAAAAGTTATTTTGCAATTTTATGACTCATATAATTAGAAAATTTAAAATACTTGGTTTAATGTGCTTGCTTGTGTTAGATTTATGACATATGATTTTGGCGCACCATTATTTTCGCTGTTTTTGTTAACTGTTTGATCTGAAAATTGATGAGATCATTAAAAACAGCAAAACATTGCGGTAAAAATATTTTTATTAATTAAATCTCGAGACATGCTGGTAATACCTTCTAAGGAATGCTTCACTTGAACATCCTCAATCAGACCAACCTAATTGATCGACTATTTCAATTCACAACAATTTGTTAATTTACCAATTAATAAACTGATATTAAAATCCGATTTGATTAATGAATTTACCAATTAATAAATTGATATTAATTTGCACACCAATAATGCAGTGTTTCTTAAGCATATATTCTAAGATTGATTTGATTATTTTAGAGGAAAAGAAAAGTTATAAATATACTTTCAATTAAACAATTTTTTGATTCAGCTTGCCGTCTTCGCAGTTTTATCGTTTCTGTAACAGTCATTAAAATATTTCTGATAAATGTGAAAGCCAAAATTATTGAATATTATATTGGTCATCAGATCAGACTTTCTGATAATTGAAGTGGAAGCCTTCCCATGTTATGCTTACCTGCATTTATTCTTTACATCTGATTTTACTTTACATTTTTTATTTAATTTATCTGACCGAAAAATCGGACAAATAGATTTTATATGATTGAAAAATCATACAGTGCTACCATACACATATAAATTTTCATCTTACTAATTTTCTTCTTTGAACCGCTGCTGCTGCAAACATTAAGAATGTCAAACATGATAACTTTTCTCATGAACACTTAATTTCATAATCATAATTATGATTAAATATGACATATTAACAACACGTAATTGGAATTTTCATTGCGCA